TCAGTTTCAGCTGGGCATTTTATTATGTCTTTGACCATATGATACTGAGAACCGATTCTTTTTATTTGCATTTAATGTTTAGTCAGGTAATTTTCAGCTTGAAAATTTTAGTTTCATCATATATATATAATTTCCCCAGTGTTTTCTCAATTTTTTTACTATTAACATCTTTAAACCACTTGAAATCAAATAAATGTCTTAAACTACATCTATATTATCAATAAAAAAGTCAAAATTTTTATCTTAAATTATAGCAGCTAAGGGGGTATTTTACCATAGAAATGGGTAATAGTTAATTTTGAAAAATGTATCAATGACGTATTTCTAACAAAGCTAATTGGTACAGGAAAAATGTTATTAGAGTCAGAGCTACCAACTTTCAGAGATTTTTTAAGATAAGGTCTCTTTCTTAGAAAGATTGAAGAAAAACCCAAAATTTTAGACTAACTTCTGAAAAATTGTGGACCTCAGTAAAATATTTATGGCAAAAAACTAATCCACTTAGACCCATTATCTCTGATAAAAGAGGAAAAGAAAGAATCATATATGACTGGAAAAAAGCATATAACCTGGTGTTAGGTAGGGGAACATCTGAGTAACTTTCTGATCATAAATTCATATAAACTGTTTGACAACAGAAAATCAAAGAGAGTTAGGATCGAGACTGTACAGTATTCTGATGTTTTATCTCAAATGGATTCAGACAATGCTGAAAATTATAATGACAATGTTTATTCACTAGAAATAAAAAAAGTTTCTCAGCTAAATACCTTAAATGTAAATCATATTGCTTTGTTGGCGTTACAATTTGGTACAAGTAACAGAGCAACTGCATCAATAGGCACTGCAACATTAAAAGCAGCCAAAGATGTAGGATTTTTGAAAGATCATATACTTGATAAACACCTAGCTCTAGATCATAAAAAAATTGAGAGATTAAAGCAAAGAGTAATGAAGGTCTGTAAAAAGAGACATCTAGTAAAGCAAGAGGGCATACAATGTATAATGTTCGATGGTAGAAAAGATCTTACAAAAACAGTTGTGTATGGCAATGATGGTAAATCTTACCCTAGGCAGATTCAAAGAAGATCGTTGTAGTGTCTGTTCTGATCCTGGTGGAAAATATTTATTCCATTTTGTAAATAATTCAGAGAGAGAAGCTCGAACACCTGCTTAACATATTGCTGAACAACTATATGATTGGATAATAGCACATAACGTTGAAAACCAATTAGTTGCAATTGGAGGAGATTTAACTAACCTTAACACAGGTTTTATTTTTATTTCTTTAAATAGTAGTTTAAAATTTTATGTACTTTTTTTTTTAAAGAAAAAAAAGTTATTATAAGTTGGAAGGGTGGAGTTATTCAATTTTTAGAGGGAAAACTAGGATTCAAACTTATCTGGATTATTTGTGCACTATATACCAACAAATTGCCAATTAGGCTTTTAAAGTTAGCTTTAGATGGAAAAACTTTATCTGAAAATAGATTCTCAGGAAACATTAGAAAACTTGTTAACATAGCAACAAATCATCCTATTTTGACATACATTCCTCAGCTTGATTTTGTTGTAGACCTAATTTATCTCGAGAAGGAAGTTGTAGATTCATTGTCTACACATCAGAAGTATTTATACAGAATATATAATGCAATAGCATCAGGTATTTTTCCTGATGACTTAAAGGAAATTCAAAATGGTCGCAATATATCACTTTTAATATTCTTATTAAAAATACTCTCACTTGTATATATTTTTTTTATTTTATACTTTTTTTTTTAAGAATCTTTACATTTATCTACAGCTTTTTTGCCATCCTTGTACAATGATTGAATGTGTATGTGTGTATATATGATAACCTAATTAGTTCTATTTCACAATAGAGGGCAAAACAAATAGGATTTTTTAAGTATAAATCTTTTGAAAAAAATATTACTGAAAATACAACTAATTTTGAATTCAAGAAGAAATTTTTTGATGTTCTATAAATGAATATATTTATATAACGGAGGTTTCATTGTGCACGCGCACATTACAGATTCCGTTAAATAAATACTAAGGCACATTTTAGTTTAATGACAGTCTCTATTCTTTACAAATGACAATGTATTTTTCTATATAAAATAAGACAAACTAGTATATAAAAACCTAGTATATTTCTATTCTCTCCAAATTGTTTAAAGTTCATATATGGATTGTATTTTAAAAGACAAAAGATTTACTTTGAAAACTTTAAATCCTGAGACTTTGTCGATGCCTTTCGAATTGAAACTATCACAGAAAAAGAGAAGACTTAGGTTATTAAAATCAAATGTATGTTATATGATCTTCATCAAAATAAATTATTATCCCAAACCAATGGTTCCATAAGGGCAGCTGCTCTATGGTTTATAAATGACACAAGTCATGTTAAAATATTTTACCATGTTAGTATATTTTATTTAAGTTGGTATATAAATAAAAATAAAAATATTGTTCAATAAATAAATCAAATTTGTTCTTAGCAAAGATTACCTTATATTTATTCTTTTTTTATTTTATTATTCCAAATTAAATTGCTTACAAAAAAAAAAAAGAGTTTTGTAATTATACATAGCATGAAAATACTTTTGAGTTTGTTTATAAGGTAAGGAACATAATTTTTAATGAACAAATTTTAACGAACGTTTATTATAAACAGATACAATTCAAAATATGAAATACACTTATATTGTTTTAGTTAAGTGTTTTTTTTAAGTTTGCATGATTAAAGTATTGCGTAGAAGTATTTGAAAAGTTTTTTGTTTTAAGATTTAATTAACAAAAGAGTTTGAATATTTAATTAAGACATTTATATTTACTTTAATTTTTTTTTTTTTAATTTCTTAAAATTTGAAAAAAAAAAAAAAAATTTACCATTAAAAACAATTGTTTTCTAACACTTTGTGATTTGTTTAAAATGTAAAACATTTTTACGATAACTTAAAAAATTTATGAATTAAATTCCTGGCGAACGCTTTCTAAACTACATATAAAAAATATGCTCAAGTCATGAAACTTTTTTATATTTTTATACAATGACTTAAAACTTTTTTATTTTTTTATACAAAAAACGCTAAGCAACATAAATTTAAAAAATACTCAAAAACCTAAATTATTATTTGCTAATAAAAACAAAATCACTGTTTAAATAATTAACAAGGGTTTTTGTTTATCAATATGTTAATATTTTTTGTTTACTCCCAAAATTTTAAAAAATAAAAAATCAATTTTTTTTTATTCAATAACGATTTATAAACAATAATTATTCAAAAACAAATTTCAGAAGTAATTAAAATATATATATATATATATATATATTTTTTTTTTTTTTTTTTTTTTTTTTTTACTAAATTATATTGAACTAAAATTAACATTAGAATAACAATTGAAAACATAATAAACTTTTCATAATATATTTACATTTAAAACTTTTATAGTTATTTGAGTTAAATGTTAAATTGAACTAGTTACCAGTTATTTATTTATTGCGGTAGTTAAAACATTTAACGTCTATAAAAAAAAATCAAGATAATTTTATGATGTCAAATATCGCGTTAAGCTAATGCATTAAGCACTTTTTTATTTAAAACAAGGCCTGCGGTAGGTTCGCCAACCTACAATATAGCTATAGTGTAAAATTTGGCGAAATTGCACTAAACAAAAATATTTTCAAGAATGAATTTTAATGATGTTACCAGATGCACCGTAAGAAGAAAACTTATAGAGAAGACCAGCATGCCAAACTTTATCAAAAGCTTTAGAAATGTCAAGAGCGATGGCCTTAACCTCTCCACCTTTATATAATGCACGATAAAACCTATTGGTTATTACTGTTAGCAAATCAGCTGTAGAACGAAGATTGAAATAAATATTGATGATCAGAAAGAAAGTTATTAGGTTCAAGATGAGAGATTAAGTTAATTAAAGGTTCAAAAACCTTACTTATGATAGAAAGAAGACTAATGGGACAAAAGTTAGACAAATCAGATTGCTCTCCAAAATTTTTAATATAGTGATAACAGATGCTGCTTTCCATTAAGCTGGGAAACAAGACTCTGATAAGCATTTGTTAAATAGTTTTGAAAGTATAAACGACAGCTCCGGAGAACACTTCTGCAAGACTATGAATTTCACAATTTAGCTCAAAAAAAATTTAATAAAAAAGCAGATTCCAGAAATATATTTTTCTACTAATGCTTTAGGGTTTGAAAAATTAAATAAAAAGTATCAACAGTCAACACCCTACCTGGCATATATGTTTTAAATAAACGCCTTTAACTAAACAGAAGCCAAAATATGCTAAATGTATGTATGCTAATAAACAAATAAACATAATTATATAATAAAAAAAGTTATATATAAAAGTATATGCATGCATTACATTTGACATATTCACATAGGGACAATATATACTTGTAACATTAAATTTATACAAATATATTTTACAAATAGCAACTTATATTTTTGCTTTCCTCTAAAAAAAAAAACAAATAAAATATCGGAAAATCATTCTTTTTAATGTTGACTTATGAACTTTTTTTTTTTTTTTTGCTGCTGAAAATAACAACCACCCTAAATAAAAACAGAACACAAATTATTAAAATTAATAATTTATTTTTATTTTTTTCTATTTAAAATTATTTTAATTTCCTATTTTGTTAGTTTAGCTGTCTTTGTGACATTTTTGAGTTTATAATGTAATAGTTATTAACAAATAGAATTTAATCGAAGTTTAACTGAAGCAAAAGATCTCAATGAAAATGTTTAGCTATGTTTAATTATATTTGGCGCAAAAGTGTTTTATTTTCAAGCGTTTAAAGTTTGGAATTTTTATTGAAGTATTGGAAGTTTTGTTATTGTATGCACTTATATATAATTCAAGATAAAAGTCCTAGTTAAGCTATCCTTTTTGCCGAACGGACTTCAAAAAACAGTATGAGTTAGCGAATGGTCTGACTTAACCAGGGTATAACTTAAGCCAATGACTTTACAGTAGATTGATAGAGAATGTTCAAGGGGAATTGAATTTCCGTCTGATTAAGTAAAAGTCCGACTTATCCATATATAGGTTGCCATTGCTGAATATTGACCCTAATTCTGAGGGTTGTATATATATATATATACATATATATGCACACATATTTATATGTATGTATATATATGCATGCATATATATATATATATATATATATATATATATATATATATATATATATATATATATTATATATATATATATATATTTCATTATGTTAAAACTATTATTTAATATTTGTGAATATTTTATGGTTTTATTTAATTAGGAACATTATAACAAATGTGTTGAGTTTAAAGCAAAGTATATTAAAAGAGAAACAGAGTTGAAAGAGAAACTATCAGAAGAAAAAAAAAGCTTAGAAGAATTAGAGTGGAGATTTGAAAGTTATAAAAAAGCAGTCTCTTCAAACAATATTTCATTAGCTTCTAACCAAACGGAATTACATAGCATCATAGAGAATGAAAAAAAGAATCTTTTTAAGACGCTTCAAAGCATTGAAGAGAAGGTATACTTACTTAAATTATATAAAATATTCATTAATAGTCTTAAAAATGTTAAAGGGATCCCCTACTGCCAAGACAAGTTGTGTTCATATTAAAGAAAATGTTTAAAAAAAATATTTGGGCTAAATTTTTTTGATTAAAACTATATAATGAATGCTCACCATTAAATTTAAAATTCACATTTTAGTCGAAGCTCGCCGTCTCCATTTTTTTTTGGTTCTCGGAGTCTGTATAATGTTAGCTGCAATCTGCAGAATTGATAATTTATTCCGTGTGTGTTTAATTCATAACAGTTTCGGTATATGACGTCAGCGTATAAATTTTATCTTTTAAGATGTCGTATTATTTTTTTGCCAAAATCAACAAATCTGTTAATTGTATAACTTTTTACTAAATCTCAAAAAAAAATTCATGATGCAATTAAAAATTAAATTTATAAAATTTACAAAAATAAAAATTTAATATATAATGAATATTTACAGTAAACGTAGTGGTTTAAACTAAATATAAGCTAGATACTAAAAGAATAATTTTACAAAAGCGTAAAAATCAATTTAAAGTATAAACTGAAAAAAAAAAACAAGTGACTTGAATAAAACATAAACTAAAATAAGTAAAAAATAAATATTAAACGACTTATTTTACTTATAACCATTCAAATCAAACTAAATTAAAGTTAAAACAAGTATTTGTACTAAAATATACAAGAAAGTGTATAAAATATAAATATAAAAACAAAGAATCACTTTAAATTGTTCGCTACCAGCCGAACAAAAATCTTTTTGTAGCAACCGCACATTTATTTGAATAACATTTGAATAGCATAACATTGACAATTAATTAAAATTCGATAATAATAAAGTTTTTAACACACATCATTAAACAATAATAAATACAAAGTGCTTAAAACTATTATTTTTGTAAGTAGTAAATAAAACATTAAGTCCAAATCAAACCTCAGTTAATGAATAAAAATAATATTTATTCATCAAATTACTTTGGTTAATGAAAAAGTTAAACCAAATTTGTCTAGCGTAAATAATGAATCAGTTTTTTAATACATTTTCTGATAAAGTTCGTGAATAAATTACGTATCAAGTCTTTTTATTTTCGTGAAAACTTTATGACTTATCGTCGTCTTTTTCTTGACTTGTATCAAATTTCGTAGCTGAAAATAGCAACCCTAATAAAAGAAAACAAAAACAGTATAAAAATTTTGAAAAAAATGTTGAAGACTTTTTTTTTTTTTGTTACAAGAATTTTTTTTTTTTTAAATTTTTTTTTTATTATCAAAATATTTTTCTTACATCCAATTTCAATTTTATACTTTGTTTAGACTTCGTTTCATTTTTTTAATATTATTTTTTATTTTCTGTGGATAATTTCCGCTTTCTTACGAAATAATGCCGCGGTCACGTTTTCTAAAAAATTTATTCTATGCATGCACAAACAAGGCGTGTGACCGCACGCCTTTCCTGGGAAAGCCTGATATATATATATATATATATATATATATATATATTATATATATATATATATATATATATTTATATATATATATACATATATATATATATATATATATATATATATATATATATATATATATATATACATATATATATATATATATATATATATATACATTTATATATACACATATATATATATATATATACATATATATATATATATATATATATATATATATATATATAAACAATATTTTGAAATTGTAAAAGATATATATTTAAGAACATATCTGTATAAAGATCTATTTTCATTTTATAATTTATAAGTTTATTTTTTGCCTTTTTGCATCAATATCCAGTTTTAAATGACTGTTTTCATAGTCTCAGCACTCATAGAAAAATAAAGAAAAGTTTGAAAAAATAATAAGAAAAAATTCAGCTAAAAACAAAGTTAAAAGAAAAATAAGGGAAAATATATTTTTAATATTTTACCCAAATAATTTTACGGATTTTTCAAATATGACCTGGATGATCTATGATAATAACAATAAATATTTACATAAAACAAAATTTTCTTTTTAAATTTTCTGTTTTGTTTTGTTATTTACCTCCTCAAGGCTGAGAAGGCCACTACAGATGAGGAGGCTACTTAATAATGGTTATAACCCTCTCTCAACTCTATAACTCCGAAACACGAACCCTGACAAACAAGGCCGCTGCGCAAAGAAACAAGTTGAGCGCTGTACTACCAGGGACATGGTTGGGATCGAAGTTGGAACCTCTCGTTTTTTTACCACTGCACCACTACCGCATTATATATATTTATATTATTCTTTCAAAATATATTTATATTAATCTTTTTTATTTATGAACATTTAATTCTGTTTTGATTATGAACATTTACCAAATGTTTTATCAAAATTTAAAAAAATGACGCAATACATTAATCCAGTAAAAATATAAATTAAATCTGAAAAAAATTATGAAATCTTAATCCAGAGATATATAGTAATTAGTTTTTTTTCTTTTTTTTTTTTTTCTTCCAAAAATTGTTAGTTACATAATTGTCCAAAAACTCGCTAATATAAATATGTCAAATCTTAGAAAACTAAAACTTTTGCACACTGAATCTTGTGTAACTGTACGCAAGATATTTAATAAGAAAAAAAAGTTCATACAAAATAGTTGTGTAAATATGAGAAAATGTATCATCTAAAATCTCTAATGAGTTATATTGAATATAAAAGATGATGAACTTTGTAAAGTAAGAAAAAAATTCAATAAAAACAATTGTGAAATCTCACTTTCAATTGACTAAAGTTGAATAAAATTTTCTAATCTTTCAAGTTTTAAATTTTTCTATATTTTATTTTTTCTTATAGTTGTTTAAGAAAAGTTAAATGTGTTATGTTATGTGATTATTTACAAATAGATATAAACAATAAATGCTATTATAAGCTATACTTATTCAAAATATTATATGTTATGTTATGTTATGATAACTGATTTTATTTTTTTTTTAATTTTTTGTTTATAGAATCCTGAAGATAGTGCTGTTGAGCCCCTTAACAAGGCTCTTGAGGTTTTGCAGTCTTTTTCAAGTCATAATAACTCACTTTCAACACATGATAGCTCTGAATTCATTAAAATTGATGACCTTGTTAGTCAAATTACTGGCATCGAAGGCTCTCTTATTGACAATTCGTCTTCACATGTGAGTTGTAGTTTTTATGTTAGAACATAGCCATATTTAATATATAATTCTTTTTTTCTTTCTTTATTTCTTTGTTTTTCTTTGTTGTTTTTTGTTTTGTTATTAAACTTTTTTTTTTGTTTTTTTTTTTGTTTTTTGTTTTATTATTACATTTCTAAAAAATCATAAAAGAGAGTCTGTACAAATTTTGTTTGAATAAATTTAAAAAAAGAAAAACTTTTTTATAAACTTTGATTTTTGAAAATGTCTATTCATATTGATTGATATTGATAATTAATTTTTATTGATTTTGATTTGTATAATTGGTTCCTTAATCTGCAGTTTGTGGAAGTGGTGTATTGGTAAAGCGCTTGGTTATTAAGCAAGTGTTTAAAATCCACCATTTTGATTGATAATAAAAATAATAACAATAATAATAATAATGATAATAATAATAATGAAAAAATCGTTATGCATATCTTTTATTGATTTTCTAATTTGTTTTATTGATAGACTTGCGAAGTAAAAGATTTGCTTTCCAATACAGTTAAGTCTATTCAATTTTTAAATCCGCATCAAGGTAGTAATCAGCCAATTTCTTTAGACCATTATTATGATTTAAACACAAGCTATGATGCTCTAATGATGGAGAAAAACAAAATCAAATTAGAGTATGAAGAACTTAGTGACAATTATAATCAAGTACTAAAAGTATCAGAACAGTATTACGCTGTAAAGAAGGAGAATTCGGAAATATTGGCAGTACTTAAAGAAAAAAATGAGCATATACTTTATCTTGAAAGCCAAATGGCCAATAGATCTGTTATCATTGAACCATTTAACGGGGAAGAATTAAATGAACTAAAAAATGAAAATAGGCAATTGAAAAACAGAATTAAAGAACTGGAACTTGAGAACTCAAATGAAGAATTAAATAAACTAAAAAATGAAAATAGGCAGTTGAAAAGCAGAATTAAAGAAGTAGAATTTGAAAACTCAGAAACTACTAAATCATTTTCTGCTGTGGATGAGGAAAACTGTCAACTTAAAGAAGAAAATGAGCAGCTAAATGTTAAGAACAAGCAGCTAATAGCAGAGAACAAGCAGCTAATAGTTGAGAACAAACAACTACTGATCGAGAACAAGCAGCTAATAGTTGAAAACAAGCAGTATAAATGTGAAAATGAACAGCTTAAAGTTGAGAACAAAAAGTCTAAGCTTGAGGATGAGCAGCTTAAAAATGAGAATAATGTATATAGTATTCAAATAAATGAAATGAAGGAATTGATCAAGCTACTTCAGCAGGTTTATTTTCTTTTTTTATTTTTGTTAATTTTCTACTGCATGGTTTCCATGGTTTTACTTTCATGTGCAGCTGCTATTTTTAATCATTTTATTTTTATCTTTTTCACATTTTATTTTTTTTTATGAGAAACTCTTGAAAACAAACCGTTGAAAACAAATGTCTATTTGTTATTAAAATAAAAAGTTGTAAAAGTTCTGTCTGATGCTCCAGTTTATTTATAGTAAGTCTAACATTCCATTTTGATTATATGTATCTTATCTTATTACTTCTCCCAAGGCAGGTTTGAACATCTCTTTATTCGGCTTTTGAATCTAATGGCATTTTTTCTATTTGACTCTTGAACCCTTATACCTCACTCTTCCTGTCATTTCTAAAAAACAGGTTAATCAATTGTTAGGCATCAAAATAACTTCAGCTTCCGTTGCTTAAATTATTTCTTTTTTAAACTTATCTACTGTTTTTTGTCCAGTCAATATTCTTGTCATAGTCTTACAAAAGTGTGCTTTAGAACTCTCTTTAATACACTCTAAATTGTTTAATAAGTGCTTAACTTAGTATTGTTTTTGACTCCTCTATCTATTGTCCAATCCCTCTATTAATAGCAAGCTCTTTGAGTCTTTAATTATCAAATTTCTAATATCTCATCTTGAATCTAGTAACTTACATTCAATACCGATTTTGAGTTACTTTTTCCATAACAGATTGTTAGTGTTAATTTTTTAGCATGAACTCCAGCTAAACTCAGTTATCCAAACAATTATCACAATACTGTTAATGTTCTTATATTGATGAATGATAATACTCTTCCTGAGTCCTCTCACTGAGTCCCCTCTACTTTTAGTCTTCCAAGATTATCACTTACTACAGACTTCTCATGAAAACCATATATACAATCCATTGCTAAGTTAGCATTTATTAAGGTTGCTCTCTTTTCTATATGCTGCTTGCCATTTTTTACTCCAGATTCCATTCTGTAACTCTACTAACCTCTTATTTGTCCATATATTAAATACTGTTGTCATATTTGGGTTGGTTTTTCTAAAGATAGTTTTTCACTTATATAGTAGCAATACATTTTTGGACTTTGTCACATTGACCAAGTCTAAAAATGTATTGCTACTATCCCATCATCACAAAATTGCGTTTCTTTCTCTTTTTATCATGGTGGTTGTTCAAACTAGCTATCATTTTTAGAAAGGATACTTTTCTTGAAAAAATATTTCATTATTAAAATATCATTTAAAAAAAGGGCAGTTTAAATCGCTTTGGTGATTTGACATCGGCTAACTTATAGCAATCTTTTTTTTCATTATTCTTTGTTTTTTTTTCTTTTTCTAAAATCTAAATTTAGCTATTTTGAGTTAATTTTTCTAACCAAATTTTGAGATTTCCTCTACAATGATTTTGAGATAAATCCCTAATCTCGAGACTCCAAATAAGAGTTTCAAGATAAATAATTTTTTCAGTTTCTAGATAGGGTATGCAACCTATTGTCTCTAGTTCCTTCAACCAAAACTCATTACCTGCATGACTCATCATTCAGCAAAGTTAAGTTTTTATACTGTATCTTTCTCTTCATGTTCAAAAAACTTTTATCCATCTAGTTTTTTTCTTTACATATCCTTAAGAACTCTCTTCTGCTTTTATCTTTTCATAATTGCAACTGTTTACAGTCTTCTGTCAAATGCATCCTTTCTCTTTAACTCTTTGTACTCTGCTAACTTCCAAATTAATTGTTTCCTGTTGTACTCTGCTAACTTCCAACTTAATTGTTTCCTGTTGTACTCTGCTAACTTCCAACTTAATTGTTTCTTGTTGTATTCTGCTAACTTCCAACTTAATTGTTTCCTGTTGTACTCTGCTAACTTCCAACTTAATTGTTTCCTGTTGTATTCTGCTAACTTCCAACTTAATTGTTTCCTGTTGGCAGGGAATTAGTTTAAGTTTTAAACAAAATTTTTACAAAGAATTTTGCTACATTAAAAAAAAAAAAAATTCAAGTAAACTGTTATCTATAATTTTTTGTGCAAATTTGTTTTAATGTTTAAAAAATATTTTTTGTAGGGTAAAACTGATTTACCCCAAGTGCGCAATAATCAGAGCGTCTATGACCATCTTGTATTCCAAAGCAATAAATCAAAAGAAGCAAATGTACCTGAAACACAAATAAGTGCAAACTACATTATTAGTCAACAAGCAGAAAATCAAATGATGACAAGGTCTGTTTTTATGTTCAGTTGTTTTGGTCAGACCAATTTTATAATATTTTGTTAAGGTTTTCTTATTACTTTACCTTTGATAAGTTATTTCTTGTTTTAGTACTTTCTTATTTAGATTTTTTTTTATTGCTTAAATGTGTTAGTTTGTATGTGGAGGATTATATGATGCATGGGTGGAATAAAATTTTGTAAACAAAATAAAGTGTGCAGGTCTCCCACATGTCCATGTCATTCTTTAAATTTCTGATTTTTTAAAAATATCTGTGCTGAAATGTCTTAAATTGTTGTAGTTTGTCTTGAATATCCTAAAATTTTTAATCACATTTTTAAATATGCCTGGGCTAGGCATTAGTCTATTAGGAATGCAGGAGGTGAGGCATACATGGAACAACTCTGACATGTTTTTCTTAGCTTAGTTAGTTTTTTTATCAAATGTACAAAATGTGAAAGTTATTAAGTAATTAATTTTTTTAGTGGTCCTATTGTTAGAAATGCACAAAAGGTGTATATTCTGGTTTGTTCTATCTAACTGTTATTCACTAGACTAGACTGAAAATCAATTTTATATTTTACGAGAGAAATGTAGGAAGTTTCTGTTATTTTGCTAAATTTTAAATTCTAATCAAATTAATTTTAATTAAAATAATTAAAATTAATTTTAATTAAAATAATTAAAAAACATTTAAATAAATGCTAAATTTTAAATTCTAAAATTTGATTAATTATTTAATTCATAATATTTTTACTTTTAGCTATTTGTTCTTTGTATTGTAATTTATATGGGTCCATATGAAATCATTCAAAAAAAAATTTTGTCACCCATGTGTCAGATATCCTTTATTTTTACATCATTTGCAGTCTATATTAAATAAATGATAACTGCAAAAATTACAACTGAAAATATACATATAGGTTGTTAAGATATTGCCAGTTGAAATATCTGAAGAGACAACAAAACATCTTTGACATATAATCTCTTGATAATGGTTTGAAGGATTTTCCTAAAATTTGGAATCCAAATAGATTTTTGCTCAAGGAATTTAAAAAAATTTATCTTTAGGATTTAGGACTCAATTGCCTAAAGAAATGCCTTGTTTATCCTGTTGTTTTTTTCAAAATTATTGACATAAATTATTGATTTTTCCGGCTAAAATGGAGGCTGTCACCAAAAATTGCTAGCAAAAATATTGATTGAATATCATTTATTTATCTTAGATCTAATATAAAAAATTAGATTTATGATTTTTCCTTCATTCTCTAATTCGTCTTTCTGATGTTAGATCAAAGTAAGCACTCAAAGATCTTTTCAGATTTTTGAATAGTTAAATTTTGTAATAATGAAAATAAAATGTTTTTTAAAACAATTTTTTTTTAATTAAAACTTCAATATAGTTTTATTTATTAACAAGTTTAGCATATATTTAGTCTTGGGCATACAACTTTACACATGATACATTTGGTAGATTTTCTTTAATAAATTTAGTTAAATCTTCTTAAATGTTATAAACAATCTCTGTGTCATGATTAACATCTTCTGAAAGATAGCAAAAAGTTTTTTGTTTGAGAAATATTTTTTCTTGAAAATAAATTACAATTCTAAAAAGTGAACACTGATTTTTGCTCCAGTGATAACTTTGAACTTCATCCTGAACAACAAATTGATAATTTAAAGCAAAGATTTCTAAAACTCATCTAATTAAACATTTTGGTCATATTTTCATTACAATTAATCAAGAATCTACTTTTTTGTTTTTGCTATAAATGAATAGGTTGTCAATGCTCTCACATAAAAATCATTAAACTCATCTAGTGACAATGATTGTAACAGTAGCATTATACAATCAGTACTCTGCAATTTTTTGAATACTGCATCTTTTTCTAGCTCATTGCCTATAATTTCATGCACCAAACAACTTTTTAATGCTTGAATACCAGAGCATAGCTTACACCGGTGCAGCATACATTCGTCGTTTTCAAGAGAACAATTAAACTCATAATATATATATATTTTTTTTTTATAATTATTCGCCTTCCCAAGGCCCGAGGGGGCCACTACAGTCAAGGAGGCTACTCATTTTTTTTTTGTTTATATTTATAATTTTTTTTTGTTGTTGTAAATCTGGTACAACCCTCTCTCAACTCTTTAACTCCGAAACATGAACCTTGACAAGCAAGACTGCTGCGCGAGAAATTAAGTTGAGCGCGGTACTTCCAGGACATGGTGGGAGTCGAACTCCAAACCTCTCGCTTACAAAGCGAGCGCTCTTACCACTACACCACTACCGCATTCATATCGCATCATATAATTGATGAAATGAAACTTTATAAGTTTTATTTCATCAATTAGAAATTTTGTATTTTGGTGATGATTTATAAAATACATTGTGATGAACCACTTAGGTTTCAAAGAATAAAACTTTGAGAAACTGACTTTGAAATTAGGTCTTTTTTAAATACAACATGTAATTCATCAAGATTAAGAAGTAAAAACTTTTTTGAATATCTTGGTTTTTCTTAACACTAAAAAAATCTTTTTTTCCCGACATAATTCTTGAACTCATCTTTTTAATAAAAGTTAATTTATAATTTTATAAATAAAACTATTTTCCAATTTTTTTCCAGGCAGTTGTAGAATCTCTTGCTCATTTTTAACATGTTTTAAGTTCGAACAAGATACTCAGACACTTTAAAGTAATTTGATTTCTTTTTATGTGTCCATGATTTTGATGCAAGTGTTAACATTTGCACTTTTTGGTTTTATACATTAAAATGTCTAGCTCATGATCTTTTTTTAACATATTGTTAGAAATGGTTCTGTTTGTTTCTGCTGTTAAAGAAGCTTCTTCAATATCATATACTAATGAAACTATTTTACAACTCTGCCTATAGTGTCGCCAAACTTTTATTTTGCTGCAGGTATTTTGCAATTTTTTGGAACACTTTTCAAGTTGACTGGTAAAATACCAAGCAATTCTAAAGAGGTATCAAACTTAACATTTTTCTTTTTCTATTGATTCCCATTCTTTCTGTGAAATAAAATCTTCATCATTTTCTAATGCTTTTGCAACAATTTGCTGCAGAATTTCCAACCTAGTTTCCAACCTAGCATTACATTATTTTTTTTTTTGTAAAACCTTGCCAAGTCTAGAGAAATCTTTACATTGCCTAAAAACACATTGATCGCACAGTAATCTTTACATTACCTAAAAATTTAAATAAGTTTTTTTAAAAACTTAAAGTTTAATCATGAATCTCAATAAAATATTTTTCTTTTAATTAACATTTTACTATTTAATTAACTATGATAAATGTTATCTTTGTAATTTTTCTCTCAGAATATTTTTTATATAATTGCTCATGCTAAGAGCATTTTGATTAAACTAAATTTTTTTAAAAATTTGCTCGCCACATTATTTCTTCTTGCTCACCACATTCTTCTTGCTGTTCACAAGAAAGATCTTTGAGTTAAATATAGCCTTGTTTTCTAGAAAATCCAGTTTTGTGGCAATAAATGCTGGAACTAAACAATAAAATTCTTGTATATGCTATATGATTTTTAAAGACAATCTTGACTCAAACTTTTAAATCACAATAATGTTTATTCCAAAAATATTCTAAAGTGTTAGGCATTTAACAATTTCAAATAAATAATGATAATGAATTCCTCAAAACAATTTACCAAGTTTGAAATACAAGCAAAACAATTTGGAAACTCAAAAACATTTTTTTTTTAATTATGTTTCTAAATTCTATTTTATAAATAGTTTATCACTATTAATTCATTTTTACATAATAAAAAACTCTAGGGGTGGGGGTGGGGAGGGGTGTTACTCTTTCCTTTTTTCCCCATCATATGCCCATGACTATGAGTATATACTATACTAGTTATTAAATAACACTATTTTAAAGTTTAGAAAAAATATATCCTTTGTTACAAAATTAAATTTTTCAAAAATCTGACTAGAAAATATTTTTGAGTGCATATTTTGATCATTACAGAGACAATACATGAATCTAATTTTTTAATCATTAGACCTAAAATAAAGTAATGATATACCATCAATATTTTTGCCTGAGATTTCAGGTGACAGCCTATATTTTAGCTCCAAAAGTCAATAATTTACAAATCAATAATTTTGAAAAAACTTGGACAAACAAGGTATTTCTTGAAACTATCAAGTCCTAAGAGTAGTTTTTTTGAATTCCTTGAGCAAAAATCTATTTATAAATGATATTTAATCTAGGTTTAAACACTCACTAGAAGAGACTGTAAAGAGTTATATTTTGAAGAACTCATGTCATCAGCAAGTAATTTATTTCTTCACCCAATACTGTGGCTTTGGTTGGTGGCTTTCAATGGTTCCTGTTTGTACTCAAATTCTTTAGCAATCCTCACCATTAAAGATATATTTTTTTGGAAAAAATTCCTGTGTCCAATTAGTCTTCTTTGAATGTCCAGACTAAGCAATTAAGGCAAAAACGAAAAAAAAGCAGAAAAATTGTGTAAGAAAACAAAAAATGAAGGTGACAAAAAAGGATATATACTCCTCAAAAAACAAAAATTGCTTATATAAGAAAAAAAACATTTTTCTAACCTATTAAATAAAAACACTTCAAGTAAAAATCTGTTATCAAGCGTAAACAAGCTACTAGATAAAACTCTAGAATATATACAACCATCAGCTGACTCAGACAAAGAACTAACAACTTAAATAATTATATACAACCATCAGCTGACTCAGACAAAGAACTAACAACTTAAATAATTATATACAACCATCAGCTGACTCAGACAAAGAACTAACAACTTAATTATTTTATCAAAAATCAGAAAACTCAGATTTAATCTTTAAATATCCAAAAAAACAAAGAAAAGAACATTAGATTATAATTATGACGATAATCTAATTAATTATAATTAGATTATGGCGAGTGTTTCACAGGTTTTGATCCAACAACATATGAAGAAATTTACGAAATAACTATGAAATAAAATGTTTTTCTGATTATCTGATTCCAGCATATCTACTAAAGAATAATTTACAAACAATAAAGTAAATAAGCAGGATTTTAATAATTGTCATTGGCTGAAGAGAATAAATCTATTTCAAGGTCATTTAATAATGCACAAGTCTATTATCCAGGAAGCACCAACATCATTATGCAGTTTAATTCAGTTCTCAATGTCAGAAAGAACACTAAAACTAAAGGAAACAAAATGCAGTCATCGCTATGGTAAACTAGCATTATCCCACTAAGGTCAGAAACAAGCGTCTTGCTCAGCTCATCACGCGTGCTTTAAACAAGCATTTGTTGACAAACAAGCTTTTTCATTCAGGCCATGGTTTGGTTTGAATCCAAAACAAAATTACGTAATCATAAAGAAAATTAAATCCAATATTAATTGATGTGCAAGGTAATGATTCTTAAAATTATTTAGCTCTAAAGCTTGGGACTTATGGATTTTGTTCTTTAGATATACATTAGATACCAGTGATTTTCAAATTTTTTTTAGAAAAATCAATTGTTTTAAGTAAGAGTACCTTTATTAGTCCATAAAACTATAATGTGCAAAATTTGAATCTTAGTTTAATTAATTTTTTTTTTTACCTATTATTTATTATAAAACATAAACTAGAATAAGTTATAAATAATGAATTTTTAAAACAAGTGTTTTTGTAAAATATTTTCATATATAATAAAATGTAAATAATTTATTTTTTAATTTTTTATAATTCTTTAAACATTTTTGGATCCTGTGTGGTTAGTTTTACATAAAAACTGTATAATTAGATGAACTTATGTAAATAAAGCATTTATAAAAAAATATGGTTTTAAAAGTTGCAACTTATTTGGGTTTAGATTGAAAAAATCTTTTTAGCTTGATAACTTTAACTCAATGCAGAAGAAAGAAAGAAATCGCTGGAAAATTTTTATTTTTGGTTGCGTTTAATTATTTATGTTTATTTTTTTGTAATTCTACAAAAAATGGCGTCTTTAAAGATTTTTTAATTATTTTGATTTTTCAAATAAGATAGCTCCTAGGTAACTTTAATTTTTTTATTTTTGAGTTAACTCTTATTTTCTTATAAATCCTAATCTACTCCAGCTTGAAGCAACTTAATACCAAAAATGAATATGCCAAACTGCTTGTTACCGAAATTTTATTTGTGATAAAGTGTTATTTAGTTTACTTTTAAAACTTTTAGCAAAAGATGTAAAAATATTTAACTCAAACTTGCATCACTTTTAAGTGGCTGGAGTAAAAGATTTTTGACAAAATCAAAATTAGTTTTAATAAACTTAGCAATATGAGACAATACTAAGACATGTATGATGCATTTGCTTGGCCAGCGATAAGTTCAATAATGTTCAATAAATAATGATTATGTGTCCAGTTTTTCATGATTAACAAATGTTTGAGTCAAAAAAGGCTTTAATAACAATATGGAAGAGACTTGTTTTGAATGCTTCTTTTGCAAAGTTACTTTCACACAGTATTTTTCTTTTACTTTTCTAGTTTTTTGAGTCTATATAAATTTTTTTTTGGTTATTGTAGGCTAAAAATCAATTTTTTTTTTTTTTTTTTAAAGTTTTGAGGGAAAATGTAAGCAAAAATTGTCTGGCTACCCTGAATCTGTGTATGCATTATTAATTATTATTTATAACTACAAATGTAGACTGATAAAGAGTTTCACTTACTACTGATGTAGATGGTTGAGAACAGTTTTGCGCAATTTATGTTTCTTGGGGTTTCTTAAACAATTAGATTTCTTAAACATTTTTAAATTTAATTTTGTTTTATTTTTTTAAGATAATATTTTCCATTATGGGAAGGTATTTTGCTTTTATTTTATTGGTTTGAATCTAAATTTTTGATAGAATCATCAAAATCTTTCAAAACTTTAAAAAACAAACAAAATTAATAAAAATTTATGTAAATATAATATTCCATTTTAATGTTTTACGCAAATAAAAGTTTTAATGTTTTACTCAGAATATAAAAAAAAGATTTTTGTGTTATATTATCGTCTATATTTATCTTTCTATACTGCCAAAACATCCCATAATGCCTCATACATTCAATTACACTTGGTATAATAATAAATGAGTCAATAAGGTTTGCATTTTAATATATGTTTTACTTGTTTTTAAATACTTTTAATTATTTTTTTCTTTGATAATCTCATATTTGTTTTTGCTTTTTGTTTGTTTTGTTTTTTAATTTTTTTTTTTCAACTTTTTCAACTTTTTCAGGATAAGAGAGTTAGAAGAAATCTGTGACAAACTCAAGTGTCAACTTGATGAAAAAACTCAAGAATGTGTCAATGCCAAAAAGGAAGTAGAGTATAAACATAATCAATTAATGTAAATAATTTTTTAACACGCAACAAATATATATTTTATCTTACATTGTTAGCAAAAAACCAACAGTTTGTTTGTCCACCAAAAAAAAACAAAAAAAACTGTTTTTTTTTTTTTTTTTTTTTTTTTTTTTTTTGTATTTCCGAGTAACATAAGTTTTAAATTTTAGAATGAAAAATAATTTCACTTATTGTTAACTATCTTTACTTTTAAATCTTTTAATTCTACTTTTAAATAGTATGAAGTCAGTTCTAGAGACTTTTAAATAGTATGAAGATGAAAAAACATTTTTGTTCATAAAGATCAGTTATATTAGTACAATCACTTTAAAAATGATTATTAATACAATATTAGAATTCAGAAAAATATATACTTCTAGTATGTTGGTTACAATTTTGAAGTTGGTGGCATTAGATCATCATTGGGACTATGAACAAAAAGGTGACCATGCTGATTTTTATCTTTTTGAGCAATTACGGATTAAAATCTTTACATAAATACTATTCCTGTGTCAAAAAAATTTTATGTTTATTTTTTAAGAAAGTGTCTTGGATTTCAAAGTAGCAAATAACTGGTTTAAATTGTTATGACTTTTGAAAAGCTATTAATTAAACAATAGCCTCCCAGTTAACATATGATCTTTTATGAATCTAAAAAATGTATTTTAATTTTTTAGACAAGTTGAACATGTCTTTTGTTTAATGGGCTAGTTTTGAACAATGGTCAAACTGAAATTCTATAATTTTTAGAAGCTACTAAAGCATTTTATGGCAACATTTCTAACAGAATAATGCTAACATCAATGCTAACATAGTTTTTGATAAGTTAGATGTTTATACTTGAAATGTTGCTGATTAAGCAAAACTTGTCTTATTACCAATAATTGAATGTTTAAGAAAGTTTCAAACAACAAAGTGATCTTTGGAAAAAAGTGAATTAGGATATTGAATCTATTGTTATGGAATTCAAGATGCATGCTACTTTAATGAAATATATTAATAACTACTTTGAAAATGTTTCTTTAAATATACCATTTAATTACAGTTACAATCTGTGTTAACTAAAAAAATTACTTGAATTTAAGATATTATTTTTTGTATACTTTATTAATTTTATTTTATAATTTTATATTTTTATATTATAAGTTACTATAGTTACTTGGAATAAATGTAAAAAAGATAATTGATAAATTTGTGTGTGTGTTTGTGTGAATGCTATATGTTTTACTTACTAATAGACTATGTAGCACAACTTTACTCCCTGAATTCAAAGTGTTATACTCCATTTGCCTATGACTAAAAACTGTGAGAAAATGACTACGTTGAACACAAGTTTTAATGTTATGACGATAGCACAAAGAACATTTTTTGTTTTATTGGGAAAGAACAAGAAAAATTTCATATTTTTTTGGTAAGAAAAATATGAAATTTTTTAAGGCTTGGTAAGATACAACAATTGCATATTCAAAAGACATAGTTAGTAACAAATCACTCAAAAATCTTCCAAAATCAACATTTTAGATTTGCAAGTGTTCTACAAATCACTTTCATAAATTTCCCTCATCAGCCTTTTGTTATACTGTCCTTGATAATGATGTCCAATTTATCTTAATGAAAACATTTATCTTGCTTCTTTGAATAATGTTCTTCTTGATCAAGAATATAGGCTTTGATTCTGCATCCCATTTTAGTGTATTCTTTATGAGACTTTAAACAACTCCACATAGTTTTCAGTCTTGCGACTATCCAGGAAACCACAAACAGCTGTAACAAAACTGTACCAAATGGGTTCCTCTGTCCTGTTCAGTTTTGACTTTAAACTTTATTGATCTATGAGTTTTAGAAAAAAGTTTTGGAGGTACTTAAAAGGTGTTGACTCTATGTTAAAAGTAGTGTCAAAATAGTGCTTTATGTAGCCTGAATTGATGTGGTGACATAAGCACCTTCTAAAGTTGTATTAATAGCACCTTGCTTACAAATACCTTGGTTGGTTGTAGCCAGTCTTTCCTGTAATAGTGCACCTTAGTGTTTAGTTAGTGTAAATATTTTCATTATTTTAATTGATTTTCAAACTCCTTTATATTTTTAATTAAGTTTTTACATTTTAAAATGTGAGTAAGTTATAAATTTTTTTCAAAACATTTTATATAAAAAATTTTTAAAAAATTATTTACTGTTTTTTTTTTTAACAATTATTTACTGTTTTTTTATCTATTTAATTATTTATTAAATTGGTTTATTTTCTGCGTAATTATAAAGTGTTATTTTAGGGATTTTAATGACCGAATGCACAAAATCAATGCAAGTTTCCATGATACTAACATAATGAATCAAAAGTTAACTAGCAAATTAGAAAGGTAAAATTTTCTCTCAAGCTTACAGAAATAGATTTACTTAAATTTTAACATCTATACCTATAGTACAACTATACCTATATTTCCCAGAATGTTTTTACTTTTTTATATATAAATGATCAATTATGCATATATAAAATATGCAACATAAGCTTTTTTTGCCATTTAAAATAAAAAATATGTAAAAATAGAAAATATGACTGTATGATTTAAATAAAGGTAATTAAGATGATTTATTTTGAATAATAATTAGTTTATTGTTATTTATTAATTTTTAAACTTTTAATTGTATTATAATACATTCTATTATACATTATATTATTTTTGTATATTAAATATATTTAACTGAAAAAGTTCGTTAGATATCTGATCCTATAGACTTTTGGAACAAACTTAGGTTTGAAACATTAAATTGAAACAAAAAAGTTAAAAAAAGATTTTAATAAAATATATCACTAGAAGAAGTTTTTTAATTTCTAAAAAGTAGTTTTAGTTAGGACACTTTTGTTTAGTCAATTAAAAAAGTTTTTATCAGTGTTTATATTGATGTTTTGATATTATTTTTAAATCAATTTTAATTTTAATAATAAGTTTAATATTGATATAACTGGAGTAATCATGGCCGATTGTCCATAACCATGATTGATAGCCTATTAGGAAAATAGCTGAATTTATTTTGCAGAATTGGCTTTAACTGTTTGTTTTTTTAAACAATAAACATGAATGAATTTCATTATCTACTCTTTTTAAATGTTTAGGTTTAATGAGTTAGATGAGATGTGTGCAAAGTATAAACAACTCCTTGAAGACAAAAAAAAAGAACATGCAACTATAAATAATGAGTTAATTCAACTAAAAGATCATATAATGTAACCTTTTTTTGTTCTATTGTTTATTATAATTTATTTTTTAATTGCACTTTTATTGTCATACTAAATAGTGAATGACCAGTGTTGATATTTGAGCAGGGCTAGGTTTGATAAAATATAGCCGGGGCTGAATTTGTGATCAGAGCAATATATATACAACCTAAAGTTTATTTTTTTTATTCAAAATTCATGTTGTATTTTGTATATATATGCATGTATAAACATCATTATGATCAAAATGATCATCATAATCATCATTACCATCATCATCATCATCATCATCATCATCATCATCATCATTATGATCATCATCGTAATCATCTTCTCTTTTGACAAATACTAAAGTTAATAAATATAAATACTAAAGTTTATTTAAATATGAAAGATATATGCCAGCATCTAAATAAATAGCAAACATATATTTGTGTCCATAATATGTATGCAAAAAGCGCATCTCAGAAGCTTTTATTCCTTCTGGAATAAAAGTTTGAAAGCTTTTATTCCTACTCTTCAATTTAAAGTCAAACCTCATTCTACTCCATGTTTTTCACCATTTTGAGCAGTTGCTTTATTAATAATTTATTTCATCTTTTTTACAAAAACATCAATATTATGAACAAATGTCTTTTTATTATTCCAAGAAGCCAATGTAAAAAGGTCCTGTCTGATGTTAAGCTCTGTTATCCTCAGTTTACTAAATCTTGTATTTTATATCAGATGTTAGGTTTTAGAGACTTTTGGTTAATCTTCAACAATGTCGTTAACTAAAGTAAGTCTTACATTTAATCCTATTAATTATATAATATTTAATAATATTTAATTTTTAAAAAGTGATATATAAATGATTTTTAAAAACTCTAGAAAACACTTTGACTCCTCCAACTATCCTACAATTGGTCTTCACTCTGTTATCAGTTTCTTTATATAAAAGGTTTTGAGATTATTAAATTATTTCTTACTAACTGCAGAAATAAAGTTATTCTTGAAGGCCTACACTCTTTATTTCAAGTAACTTTAAAGGTACCACAAGATCTCTTGTGGTATCCTTAAACCTTTGCTCATGTATTGTTTCTTATATAAAATATCAATCTTCATAAAAATTTAACATCTAAAGTGGCTCCATTTCTTGACAACTCAACTTTTTACTCTTGTCTTGACAAAAAATCTTTGAAAAGAACTTTTTGATTTATAAGAACAAGCAGCTGATTTTTAATCTGATCTCTCTTCTGTAACCGCAATTAATTCTGGATTTAAAATCTGCAATTTTTTGGCTTGCTGTGGCTTCAGCTTAAGGCTTGCTGTGGCTTCAGCTTAAGGCTTACTGTGGCTTCAGCTTAAGGCTTACTGTGGCTTCAGCTTAAGGCTTACTGTGGCTTATGGATTTAAATTCTGGAATTATATAATACTGAAATCTGCAATTTTTGTTAGACAACAAAAGTTATTTATTTACTGCAAAAAAATATTACAATAATGTTGATATTCATATATTAATGAATAACAACCCTCTTACTCTCAGACAAAGTATAAAAGTGCATTAAATGTAATGCGGTTGTGGTGTAGTGGTTGAGGGCTTGAGTCATAAACAAGAGGTACCGAGTTTGATCCCCTGGTAGTACCACGCTTAACTTGTTTCTCTGCGCAGCGGCCTTGGTTGTCAAGGTTCATGTTTTGGTCACTTACTAATACTAAACTGTGAGTTGTATCATAGATTTATTATCACTTGTAAGGTATTATGTTTAAATACGATCTAAATATGAGAGTAGTTTAGAGGTTGTTTACTTCTGTAAAATTCTAAATTTGTTGCCTAAGAATAATATCTTAAATAATATCCTTCACCTTAAAAATAATATCCTTCACCTAAAAAATAATATCCTTCACCTAAAAAATAATATCCTTTACCTAAAAAATAATATCCTTCATTTAACAATATTACTAGATTCTTTTTTCAGAGTTACAAAGTAAAATGGAGGGGGGGGGACTTATTTTAAAGTAATGGCTTGCCAGTTTTATATGAATTTGTTGAAAAAAGTAAACATATTAGTTTTGTTGCAAAATTTAAATAATTACAAAATAAATATGTGTTATGTATTGCTTTTAATTGACTTTGCTGTTAGTTGATGTTGTGACAATGTTTTAAATAATATATATATTTTAGGCGATTGAATGTGACAAATGACAATTTAAAAAAAACAACGGAAGAATTATGGAAAAATCTAAATTTGAAATCTCAACAGCTTAAGGTAGTTTTTTTAAATTATACTATATTTTTGATATTTAGTTTTTTTTATCAAATCTCAAATTTTTCCACTTAATTTTTTTGTTTAAGAGCATTTTTATTTATGACTACAATATTGTGTTCTTTTTTAATAAAAATAAATTGTTTTATCTTCTTTATTTGTATTCGATTATTTATTTATTTTTAAATATTGGATCACTACCACTATATGGCATAATTCTGAGATTGGCTGCATTGTTTCTAATTCAATAGATCTGAAGATTAAACCTGCCCTAAGATTGAACTCCATATTTTCATTGTATTTTGCTCAACTTGTTTCATAGTTAAAGAGTTTTGTGTAAAGACTCATTTTAAAATTGTTTCATTGAGCCATGGTTTCACATAAAAAGGTCATCTTTTATTTCCTCCTTAAGGTTTAGTTAATACTTTTAAAAATGTCATATATTCATATCTTTAAAAATGTCATATATTCATATCTAACTTATCATAAAAGTTAACAAATAAGAAATCAATTCTGTATGTGAGGTGTGTTCAGTATATATGTTTTTTTGGATATTTCTGGAATTACGGATATTTTTTTTAACTCTTACACTTTCTATACATACTAGTATATATTTTTGTAATATAATCATAGAAAAATTCAACTTTTTCCAACTTGTCTTTCAATTATTAGAAAAGGATTTACTCAAAATAGTTCTTTAGCTGTACTTAAAAGTAATGTAATGGGAAATCTCGCAAATGATGTCAAGACAATTGCACAAATAGCTTATACTGTAATAAAAGATAAAATTGATGAAGAAGGTGAAGTAGGTACTAGGTAAAATGCGAAACGCAAACTGCGAACTGGTAAAATGCAAACTTTTTTGCGAACCATCTTCCTATTGGTTGTTAATGATGTAATGCTTTATTTCTGTTAAATAGTTAATTTAGCGGTATATTTTAAGGACTTATGCGAAAAAATTTTAAGTTTTTAAAAAATTTAAATTTTAAAATATTTAAAAAAAATATATATATATATATGTGTATATATATATATATATATATATATATATATATATATATATATATATATATATATATATATATATATATATATATATATATATATATATATATGTATATATATATAATATATATATATATATATCAACTTTCTTTAAAAATAACTTAAAATTTTTACAGTAGCAAAATTAGTCATTGTAAAAAACTCTAGTTTAAGTCATTTTTCCAGCATAATTTTGTCATGTTAAAATAAATATATGTAGAATTTTAATTATATCTGTGCAAGTAAATTTACAAATCATGATTACAAAAACTTTACACAATTTACCTAGAGTTGAATACTCAGAACCAGACTCCATATTTTTAGTGTGATGCATGGAAACTGGTACCTCGCCTAATCTGAATCTGGCACATCTTTAAAAATAATGCACTAATAATTAAGTCTAATATTCTAGAATTATATGGAAATAATCCAATCTATAACTCAAATGACAAAATTTTAAAATAGTTTTAAATCAAATTTCATTAATTTACGTTAAATCGTTTACTTTAGGAAAAAGAGCAAGTTGAAAACAAAATTCGAGAAAAAGATAATGAAATATGCACTCTTAAAGAACAAATGGACGCTTTAAATGTCACAATTCAGAAAATGAGTGCTGAAGTCGATTCAATACCTGTTTATCAAACACAAGTAAGACTTATATTTTTATAAAATTTCCATTAGGTTTGTACTCAAAAATTTTAAATATTTTTGAACTATAAGTTAAATATATATTCTATATATGCACTGTTGTTTAGATGGATGCCTATGAAAATGATTTTAGAGCTGAAAGGGCAGCGCGAGAGAAAATCCATCAAGACTTATGCAGGATTAATGAGCAGCTCGATGAACATATACTTGAGAATACAAGATTAAAAGAAGAAATTAAACATCTCACAAGCAGCTCATTGTCAGATGTTCAGCAACGTTATAGTAACTCTTCTATGACAGGTAGATTTAATCAGTCTAATCCACACTTTTTCAACTCCGACAGGTCTGCTCCGTTAGGAAATTCAAGAAATGGCTCTAATAATCATTCCTATGAGACTAATCAAAGTTATTATAATGATGAACCAAACTATTTTAACAGAAGAAAGCCCTTTGAAAATGTTATTAATCAAAGACCATATTATCATTCTGAGGAACAAAAATGCCCCAAGTGTAATCAAGGTTTTCCTGATTTAGATAGTCTGCAACTGCATGTTGTTGAGTGTTTAGATAATTGAGAACTTTTTTTTTTAATGTATATGGTTAGTTGTAGAGATTCTAGTGTTATTTTTAGTGTTATTTTTTGTTTGTTTCTGAAAGTAAATAATGGTAAAATATATTTTTTATTTTTTTTAATCTGAAAAATTAGATTTATTATCAAGTTTCAAATAAATGGGTTTTGTTTGTTTGTTTTTTTTTTTTCAAATTTATAATTAAAAAAAAGAAGATTTTTTTGACATCATCACATAATTATCTTATTTTATTACAATCTTGAATTATATATTTCTTTTCAACTAATATGTTTAAAAGTTCAATATGAATATTTGCTGCGTGAGTATATAATATATATATATATATATATATATATATATATATATATATATATATATATATATATATATATATATATATATATATATATATATATATATAATTTTTAATTAAACACAATTCTAAAATTTTAAAGTTTGTATTTTTTTATTACTTATTTTAAGATTTGAAATATTTCTTATAAATTTTTTGAGTTTATTAGTTTCTTATAAATTAACGAACGAGACTTATTGGTTTTTTCAAAAGTTTTATCTGTAATGTTGTGTAGCTGATTTAATCTGCAATAGTTCATCAATGTTTTTTAGCGCATCCCTTTTATTGTTTTATAAAGGTTATTTAAGGAACAACTCCTTAATGATAAAAAGTTTACATTACTCGGTAATGCAGAAGGTAGACCTCAACTTAAAATGACCACATATTGCGAAATCTTGTCCACATTGTCTATTGTTGGTGGGTAATGATATAAACTTTAAGTGTAAACTGCTAACTAAATGTGAACTTTTTTTGTGAACTATATGTAATTTTTAAGGGCTATAAATATTTTGTTCAATAAATTGATATATTATTAATTTGTAAATTGTTACGTGTAAATGCATAATTTGACTAATTAGAACTAGGCAAAAATGAATATGGATGAGGTCATGATCATGATGTCTAAAAATGTATACACTTTTGGTTTTTTAACTTTTTTTAAACACGTTTTTTTTTATAGGGCAAGATTAAATGTCTTTTTTTATCAAAAGAAATGAACTTTGTAAACTAAATTTGAAATGAAAGAAAAACTAAAAATGTTAAAATGGTTCCCATAATACCTTACATCATGCTACATGCAAATACCTATTTAGTTTCTGGTAAAGATATTTTGTCGGGAGTATTAAATTTTTTGTTATAACCATTAAAACTTGTGTCACGGAAGGAAGCTATCGTTCCATTTGTATCTAGGTACCCCACCCATGGGATACAGTCTTTGGGACACCATAAAAGATGATAATAAAAAATAAGTAATAAAAATAAGAAATGTTTTTTTTTGAAAAAAGATAAAATTATTGCAACCAAGAATTGGAATCATTTTCCTCACGTAATAAATCGCTTTCAAAAACAAGACAAATTTTTTATTCTATATATATATTTTTAATCTATATATATTTATATGTTAGTGCATGTGCCTGTATTATTCTACTAGCTTTTTCACGAGGTTTTATCCTAATTTTTTATTCAGCAGTCTTAGGAAGTTCTTTTTTTTTTTTTAAAAAAAAAAAAGAGCTTACAAAATTTACAATTTCAGAATCGTCGGTTTGTTTTGTACTCAATTCAGCATCGTTGGTTTCCCTTGTACTCAGAAAAAAAACTCTTGAGGCTTTTCTCGTGAGAGTATTAAGCTATTGGCGTTCACAATTTTTCCAGTGTTTGTTTAATATGTGTTTGGATTGTTTCTCAGTAACAACACTACTTAAAAAATCTGATGCTGCATCATTATAATTAACATACTGCGCTGCATCATTATAATTAACTATAAATGGAGAAAATACAGAGTCTAACGGCTGCATTTTTTGATTACTATATGTTAAGAAGTTACTCTATATCAGAGCTTCTATAGTAAGAGTAGTAACACCATTATTATTTGCAAAATCAAGGAATTTTATAGATAAGTGGCTCTCAACCAAATTTGTTTCTCTTAGATGTTTACGATTTAGCAAAAATCTTGTGCATTGTAAATATTAAAAAGTATCATTCTTTCTATAAAGCATAAAAAAATCTGTGCTGCGTCCCAATGGAATGCACTGTCGCAAATACTAATCAACGCGACTGCGGTTATCAAGTTTAAAAATTGTCTGGATGAATATCGGTATGAATGAATATGGTATGCCAGATGACCACGAGTATCGAAGACTGTCAGTACAGAGGGGCCTGATGCAGGACGCCCTCGTTGATAATTTCAAAGAAAAAGTAGCAAACAGTTTTTTATTGTTCAAAATTTGAAAAATTCTTATAGATAGTTGTAAATATTTTAAATTAGTAACCACTGAAATAACTAAACTAAACTATATGAATTGACAATTTTAAAGCAGTCCTTTATATCAACCTTACATTATTACACCTTTATACTTATATTAAATAATGAGGCTTTACAAAAAATTGTGGTGAGTAACGACTGGGAACGGAAAAGCTCTTTTACTTCATCCCCCTCCCCTTCCTCCTCAGCCCCAAACGTGAGGGGCAACAAGTTGGTAAAATATTTTTTGTACTATTTTCTAAATTTTTTTTTTCCCTATTTAAATATTTACAAGTTCCGTGTTTTATAATATATATAAAAATGGAAAGGACGAGAAGAAGACAGGTTTGCTTTATGACCAAGTCCCTTGTTTTTTCAAGATATTCATATAAATACGTTGTAACTAAAATTAAAAATGAGAGAAAAAAGAAAAATGTTTCAAAGAAGTTTATACAAAATGCAAAATAGTTTAATAGAGTTTTTTTTAATAGAGTCGAAATTATTTTTAATGTTAAAAAAATATTTTTCGTTTTTAAAAAGTTCTCAATAACATGAAGGTTAACTACGGTAATAAAATGCTATTTATATTCAAATTTCAAAGTTATTAATTGAAAGAAAATATAATAATTCATTCATTACAAGTTAATTTACAATTAAAAGAGATATGTACATATACACATGTATATATATATGTATACATATACACACTTGCGCACGCATACATATACACGTAGACACGCATTCGTACATAAATGCTGTAAATCCATAATATTTTTTCATAAGATAATTGACAGTAATGTATATATAATTAAAGACTTTAGTCCTTTTCAGACAAATAAAGTATGCACTAATATATATATAATTTTCAAATATAATATTTTTAAAGATAGATTTAAGAATAATTCTCTGTTTGATTGTTATTTAAAAGCAATAGTTTTAGCTTTTGTTTAAACTGTTCAAGTGTTGTAAGTGTTTTAATATCATTACTAATTAACTTAATTCATACATTAGGTCCTCTAATAGTTATTGAGAACTTGGTGGACTCATACTTGAATATTTAGTCATGTATTTGTGTTGAATTTTATTAAATAATAGTTTAAAGATATTTGGTATTGTATTATTATTAGTTTTATACATAAAAATTAGCAAATGATATATATTTAATTGGTACAAACTTAATATTTCTAGATTGTTGAACAATGGTCTAAAATGTGATAGGCGGTGTGCATTTGATAATAATCTGATTGCATGTTTTTGTTTGCTAAATAGCATTTTTGTCTTTGTTTTATTGGTGCTGCACCAAGCAATGTTTGCATAATTAAGATAGGAGTGAATAAATGAGTAATATATGTATTTCAAACATGATTGATCCAAGTATGGTTTTGCTTTATAGAGTAATCCGATATTTTTAGAAATTTTATTTTGAATCATGTTTATGTGGTCTTTCCAATTTATGTTTTCATCTAGTATTACACCGAGAAATTTTATTGAACATTCTCTTTTTACGTTGTATTCTCCAATAATAAGTTTTGAAAGTGCAATAGGGATTTTATCTTTTTCATGAAGGCGATGAAAGATAGTATATTTGGTTTTAGTTAAATTAATTGAAAGTTTATTCATATTTAACCATTCAGTTAGTTTTAGAAGTTCTATGTTGACCGTTTTAAATAATGTTGTTATATCACTATGAGAATAAAATAAATTTGTGTCATAAGCAAATAATATAGAATCTAGAATATTAGAAGTTTTGCTTAAATCATTAATATAGATTAAAAATAAAAGTGGTCCTAATGTAGATCCTTGAGGAACGCCGCAAATAATTGTCATATTGTTAGTTCTCATTGCCAAATGAAATATATCGTTTTCTATTAGATAAGTAGCTTTTGAACCAAGCTATGTTTATATTTTTGATTCCATAGTTTTCTAATTTTTTAATTAAAATACTATGATCAACAGTGTTGAATGCCTCACTAAGATCTATGAAAACACCTAAAATGAACTTGTTTTTGTCAAAACCTTGAAAAATAATAAACTGGCATATTCAGTAGAGTGCCCTGTTTTGAAGCCAAATTGTTTGTTGTAAGGAATATTATTTTTTTCTAAAAATGAGTATAATTTGTTATACATAATGCGTTCTAGTATTTTCGAGAAGCAAGGAAGTATGGAAATAGGTCTATAGTTCGAGAAATTAGTATCATCTCCAGATATAAAAACTGGTATTACCCTTGCAATTTTAGTTTTTTTTTGGAAAGATTCATTGTTTAAACGAAATATAAATATATGCAAAAGAACATTTTTAATATAGAAAATACATTTAGTTACAACATTACTACTAACATTATCATGTCCTAGTGCTTTGTTTAATTTTAATGAATGCACAGCACCTAATAACTCTTTAATAATTCTTTTTCTGTTAAACCAGCATTTTCCATTATTGATTTGCTAGGAGTTAAGTATTTCTCTTTGTTAAACTCACTGTGTTTTAATCTTGATGCTAAATTTGAACCTGCATTGACAAACACCTCGTTAGATGTTATAGCAATTATAGATTCATTTGTAATATCTTGATAATGATAATTTAGTTTTTTTGAAGACCATTTAGCTTAAGTGTTTTTTTTTCCAATTATTTCTTTAATGACTTGCCACGTTTTTTGAGTATCGCCTTAAAATTTTATTATTTTATTTGAATTAACTTCTTTGAAAGTTTTATAATTGATTCAAAGTGATCTTTATACCTTAATTC